TAACCCTGCCCCTCGAGGCAATACTCAAAAATCAATTGTTGATTTTTTAGTCACCCATAAAATAAAGTTTTTCCCAAGTGATCAGGGGATCAATACAGGAAACTTAACCATAAAAAAACTTCTCTTCAGTATGCAGCAGAACAATACAATGGACAAGGAGATGCTTTGGCTATTGGATTCCTTTCCCAGTTGGCAAGGGGCCCTTTTCCTCTTTCCCTCATTTCTGAACTGCTGAACAGGAATTATTAAAGCTTTCACCCAAGACACTCTGTCACAGAGGAGTGGCGAGCTGTTTATGAGGGTCCTGATCTCCCTAGAGTACACCTTAGGAGCATCTTCTCATGCCCTGGCGGCTCTGTGGAAACCTGACAGAGGAGAGGGACTTGGAGATCCCTACCTCTGGCTCTTCTCCACCCCTTCCATGAACAATTAAACCACACTGAGGTGATGATTTGAGGTGTCTCGCTGTCATCAAGCTACATTCATGGGTTTGCTTTTCCTTTAGGGGATCTTGCAAGGCAGGGAGGTCCCTGCTCTTGACCAATGATGACTGTTCATCATGGTCACCATGATGACCACTGTAACACACCTGGATACGGTCATGTGGCATGAGGTTTTCATAAGGAAAGTCAGGCTCTGAAGGACATTTCTCACCAGCAACTTTCAATATATGAAAATGCATTTAAAAGTTGCTTCTGGAAAATATATTAAATCGGCTAGTCATGTAATTGTTAGCTAACGGCCAAAGCCTATAAAATCATGGCATCATGTCACCCTGATATAAAGCAACATAAAAACTAGAGCATCGTCTATAAAGTGAAGGATCATTTGCCTTAAAGTGACAAATTCTATGCCAAAAAATACCACTGTACTTCTAACAAGTGACACTTATTTTAATAGACCCTATAAAAATACAATATTTTCAATGTCCCCATAAAACATTAACTTACAAATATTATTCTCAGAGCTCTGGTGTCATCGATATGTGATTCTATTGTAAAATTCCAAAAGAATGTTTGAAACACTAGCAGGTCAAGTAAATTCACTGTGTATATGCATAACCTATGTAGAAATGGGGGTGGGTGGGAGAGTGCATATAGCCAATTCGGAATTTCAAATTAATATTTTAATCAAACTATGCATAATATATAAAGAAGTATTTTTAAAGGATTATCAAATGAATTTTGATCATTTGTAGAAAAAATAGTTCCAATGTCAAAGTAAATAACTTCCACATTAAACATGTTTGTTTAGTGAAACGATATTCACAGTGTTATGTACCTGGAAACTTTCAGAAGGGAAATGCTTTGTGTATTTCTGTCCATAAAAGTTGGCCCTGAAATTAATAATACGAATAAACCACAGCTCTGAGACATTATATTTGAAGTTTCATATTTAAATACTGAAGTGTTTAAAGTACCCACCATAACTGTCTGAAAAGTCTTCCTTAATGATAGATTTCTTAAGTTGTAAACTGAATAAAGCAGCACACAAATTAATTCCACATTGGCAAGTAAAGAAACAATGGGGGCTCTAGTTGATAATCAACATGAACTCGAAGGGATAAAACAATACCTTCCCTGCCACCCATCATTCACTGCTTGAGTTTGTGGTGAAAAGTCCTGTCTGCAACAATGACTTTTGGTCTATTTCTTAACTCTGTGTGTATTATAATTAGCTAAAGGCATTGAACAAATTAGTTTTCCTATCTTTTTCCAGTCCCAAGGACAAGTGGATCATTTATGAAATATTTCACTCTGTATTATGAGAATTTAGCAAATGACTATGGAACCAAATATAAACACTTTATACCATATGTACAGTTACTTTCATAAGGCATTATCATGTTATTTTTATTGAAAAAGATTCGATATAGTAAAGTCTTATTTTAAGATATATTTTCTTTCTCAATCCGAGATGTTTAGTTTATGAAAATATCATTTTTTCTCTATATTCTTTTTGTATATATGCCAACATATACCTTGTACTAGAAATATTTCATGGGAATTACAACTCTTTCTACTTGTATTTTCTATATAAAGGCATATACAACTTTGAGGCAGTGTTTCTGATGGACAGTGGAATTCATAAAGAGCTTGTGTGTGCTTCCGTGCTCTGAAATCATATGAAATCTACTTCGAGAAGAAACTGATTTTGATTAAAAAACAAAAACAAAACTGCACCAATGCACAGCCAGAGGCTGACAATTACAACTTGTACATAACCACGTGAACATTGTATTTATAGAGTTAACATTGTTAAGGATGATCAGTGCTGACATACAGTATTGTACATTTGGCACTAATGTTTGCCATTGGTCCAGCAATTGGCAAAATTTGATTCTATGTATAAATTTCTTTTTGAACATTAGGTCTGGCTAGACATATCTTCACTATTTATAAAAAATATTTTAGACGGTAAGCTCACGTTGAATAACTAGGTCTACTGTGTTCTGGAAACTCTTCAGCAGTAACACAGCCTTCTCGTGTTCCATATGTACAAAACTGTGTCCATTCGCCTGCAAATACATGAATGCGACAGGTCAAGCAATGCAAACGGTTAGTTATCACAGCTTCATGCTCTAATCATAACAGCCAGGGAAGCGTCAAGCGCCGTGGTTATCACTTTCAAAACTGACAATGGAATTTTAATAATAGCAGTCATTAATTTTACCATATTTAATCCAGTTTATTAATTCAACAAGGATTCATCAAATTCTCCCTTATCTTTGCCCTATTCCTAAAGCCGCAGAGTGAGTAGCAGGTCGATGTACTTGTGCTTTTTCTGTTCAGTTTTGCTGTTGTTTTCTGATTTTCTTTCACAGGTGACCGGCTGAGCTGGCTGCTGGTTCTATGTAACACCGACACTGACATAATCTTATCAATATGCCACATATTTTAATCACTCTAAACACCCCGAGGCACTTACAGTACTGCTAAATCTTATTTTGAGTCTATAAAAAGCTCTTGATTTATGCATTTTTTTTTTTTTTTTTTTCGGAACTAGGGATTGAACTCAGGCCCTTGCGCTTGCCAGGGAAGCGCTTATTCCACTGAGCCATCTCCCCGGCCCCTGCATTTCTTTATTAAATACTCTTTTATTCTCCTGTCCTTCATTGGTATGTGCAAGTATTTTCACGATCTATACTGGTGGCCTTCGACCTCATGGAGTAAGCCTAAGGCATGTACCCCTCCGTACTAAAGTATGTTGACAGTAGGAGACAGGACACACTTCCTGTCTCCTCGAAAACAACCAGCAAGAGAAGCAAACACAATTTATTTCAACCACAATAAAGCTAAGGTGTTACAGTCAAGTATCAATGGGCTATTATTTGATATTTGTGTTGTGCGGCATGCTCATGGTTCTTTGCATTTCTCCACGTGAAATAGGGAATTACTGGAATATTTTTAATAATATATAAGAGGTGGGTTGTGGAAGCCTTCACTCTCATGAAGCCCAAATTAAAACACAACCTTTTTGAAACGTGGCAGGAACAAATTCTGGCAACTCAATGACCAGTAGTTAGAGCCCAGTTTCCCTGCATCTGAGACTCAGTTAATTTCAAAAGGAAATGTCAGCGGAATTGACTGCTTGGCAGGTCCAGGCAACAGAGCCGGCTAACTGGCTGTATCTTTCCACCTTCGGTGAAGTGATGCTTACACTGGGCTCAGACTGCCTTTAGTATTTTGCTTCACTTTTACGCTTTCTTAAACTAGGATCCAGTGCTTTAACAGATCACTTGAAAGTTAAAATGTGCTCCTGCCTTTAACTTCTTCAAATTTCAAATAGGTCATACTTTGTGATGCTATATAGCCTTTGAATTTAGGCAAAAGTCATCTGATATTTTTTATCACTGATAATACCTTGTCATTAGTTCATTAACGTTGAGTGGATAATGATGGGATAAAGAAGGTGCTGAGATCCACCGCATTTTAAAAACCTTACACAGTACATCTATCAGTAGGGAAAATATGAGGAAACCAAATGGAAAGCCCTGGAAATCCATATAATTTGAATTATGAGTTTGCTTTGAATTAATGAAACTCAACATACGCATTTGTTAATGTTTATTAATGGTGATGTTTGCTGAAGCTGGCATTTGCTGTCTCAGGGGCAAGAGATGGTAGTTGAGTAGAATCTGGGGTACATTCTGCTGCTCTAATTTCTTGCTTTAAGTTAGAGTGAAAATTAGATTATGAGATTTCATCAGACGTTTTTTCAGATTAGATGGTGACTGGGAATAGAGAACACAGCGTGTGGAACTTTCTTTCTGCACTTACCTATCCTCCTGTTTATACCAGAAAAATAGCAACTTGCCTCAAATATATGCATTTATTCCACTTTAGCTTTGAGGGATATACTAGCTATTTTAATGACATCAGTGTCCTCAAAAGTCATACCTTGACTGTGAAATTAAAATTTAACTTTAAATAAGAGAGGTTATTTTTGAGCTAGGGTCTTGCTGTGTAGCTCAGGTTAGCTTTGTTTTTCTTTTTCTTTTTTTTCTTTTTTGCGGAACCGGGGATTGAACTCAGATCCTTGCATTTACCAGTCAAGTGCTTATCCTACTGAGCCTTCTCCCCGGCCCCCTCAGGTTAGCTTTGAAACTACCGTGTAGCCCTCAGATCCTCCTGCCTGGATTTCCCAAATGCTGGGATTACAGGGGCATGAACCACACCCAGCACTAGTGGAATTCTTGAGTTCAAAATTAATAATACCTGTGTGAATTTTCAGATTCCTGTGTTTGTAGTCTCAAATCTATAGTTTTGATGAACCCAGAATCTATTGAGAGTTTCTGGGAAATTGTTTGAAGCAAAGATCTTAAAGCTTCGGGGAGGAAGACTCCTCTGTGGTCATCTGTGGCATGAAGGACAAGTTGTTCATCACTAGACTTGATGTAATATTAATTGTAAAAAAGACAGCAGTTGGTTCTGAGGGCAAGTGTGGCATAAAGCTTTCCAAATTAATTATAGCTGTTAGTTTTGAACGGTGTGAGGTGTTTGAACAATATGGTGAACACTTCATTCACAAAACTTATTACAAGCCAGATGTGGTATTGTACCCCTGTAGTCCCAGCACTCAGGAGGCTGAGGCAGGAGGATCACCTTGAGTTCAACACCAGTCTGGGCTACATAAGTGAGTTCAAGGCCAGCCTGCAATACATAGCAAGATCCTATCTCAACCACTGCCCACAACCCCCTTCCCCTAAGAAGAAACAGCCACAAAAGCATATTACAGTGCAAGACAAATCGTTATTGCTCTCCCTCGACGTAGTCATTCTGAGCACAGCTGTCCCATCATTCTTGCATCTTTCTCAAGCAGTTCTGGAAGGCCTCTTTGGCTGCGTGGCGGTGGCTGCCTCTGTGTCCTGAACTGACTCAGAATGTTGACCCTCCAGGGTCACTTGGCTTTGGGGAGGAGCCGAAGCCACACAGTGTAACTGAGGGGGAGGAGGGCCCGGTGTCGCCGGGTAGCAGCCCTTGCTGCATTTTCGATCACACCTTGCAAAGACACTCAGGAAAGAAGCCTTCCAGAACTGCCTCCGAAAATAGCAAGAACGATGAGACAGGTGTGTTGGCCACAAGGAAGAGCATTTTGAGGGATGCTGAAAGAAATGTGATTTTTACTGTAAAAAAAAATTTAAAAATTTAAACACTGTCTTTTGATTTTCTCTTGTATTTTATCGAAAGATTAAAGAAAGTTGGTAAACTCAATACAGCCTTTCTTTCTTTCTTTTTTTCTTTTTTTCTTTCCTTCCTTCCTTCCTTCCTTCCTTCCTTCCTTCCTTCCTTCCTTCCTTCCAGATAAGACTGTCTTGTTGGGTCCTGATAGCCCAAGGCACTGTGATGGGCAGTGGGGACAAGAACAAAGGGACAGAAGAGGGAGGCTCCCAGCCAAGAGGGGACCTTCTGGAGGGGAACCAGCCAAGGAGCTACCACATATATCTCGCATGCACGAGACACCTTTTCCACAGCAAGCACTCAGCAAAGGCAAGGGAAGGCACTAGGACAGCTCCTGGTGAGGCTGAACTTCCCAGGCAGCTGATTCTCAGCCACATGCCACCACAGTGCTCTGGAGCATGACCTGTTCCTGCCCCTGCAGCCCTCAGGATGTGAACACTGGGGGAACGTTTCTTGTCAATTGCACAATCATTACTGCATTAGAATTTTTTTTTTAAATGGTGCACATTTTGGTAAGAACTTTTTAAAAACACGCCAAAGAAAAACAAACAACCCTACCCCCAAACCAAACCCTGAAAATTTATACCATAGCCTTTAGCAGAAAAAGAAATCCTAAAAATAAGCTAATATGTCAGGGGAGTTTTTAAAGGGAGTGTATTAGTTCAAATAATCTTTGCTTCAAAACCAAGAGCAGTAACTAGATATGCAAAGCACTTAGGAGAGTGAGAGAGAAGAACAGAGAAAAGAGAAGCAGGAGGGCCAGAGGAGCCAGGCAGACAGACAGAAAGAGGCACACCCAGAGGCAGGTCTGCTGGCTCTTTGCTCACAAAAACACAGTATGAAAACTCCCGGTATAGGCCAATCTTATCTTCATAAACGAAAGAGTCATGCCCCAGACAGGCCTGGCCTGGGTTCATAGGCAGGGCATGGGCCAGGGCTGAGTCATCTGATGCCACGATATTCCTACATTCCTTCCTGCATTTCTTTCAATCTAGTACCTCAACAAAGTAGTAAGGCCATCGTCACTTAGAACTAACATTTCCCCAGCTACGATGTTCAACCCTCCCTGCTTTAACATTGCAGCCCCAGTACCTCTAAAACTAATTCTGCTCTTTACACTGTTGCAAAACCATGGTTCGCTTTCTGATTCCTATCAGGTTAATTTAATTAAGTCCAGAAATACTGGTGGAAATAACATTTAGTCTCAAATTAAAAGCTACACAAATGCTGAATCTCTCATTCTTACTACAGTTTCATTTCTGGTTTAAACGGGTTATTGTGGTTCTCTCTGAACTTTCCTTTTCAAAAGGAGAAAAACCAAGTCAGTCTCTCCGCTAGAGCAATACCAGGAGACTCACCAGAAACGAGATTAAAAAGAAGGAAACTTTTAGCGAGAAGAATCAATCAACTCAGCCCTTCACTAGACAAGGGTGAATTAAACAAGTAAGCCTTGAATTATAATGCCAGAAATGGAAAATGCACATCTCTGAGAAATGGCAAACTTAGATGAGGAGATCGTGGCATGTCAGAGACCTGGGACCCACACATAGGACCTATAGTTGGCAATGGGATGGGACAAAAGAGTTCAGGAGGCAAGTTGAAGCAGCAGCTTTGGCAGCAGAGGTGGAATGCTGAAAGGTATATAAAAATGAAATTTAAACGTGAGCCTTGTATTGGAAGGGAACTCTGACTAGGACAGCAGGTGGGAGCTGCAGTGTTGGACCCATAAAGAACACAAGGCCAGGGTTGACTATTGACCTGGCATCTAGGAACATCTGCTTCAAGTGTAACAAGACCCAGTGCCCCTTGCCAGGGGCTGGCAGACAGCTGGTTCTGC